TTTTCTCCTCCTAGTTTCTAAATTATTTTACCTTGTTCACATTTCATCCTGATAATTCTAAAATACTGAAACAAAACTTCCTTAACATGACCTACTTTAGTGTGGAAGTTGGCCTAAGTCTCATTTCTCATAAAAAGCCAGTTACATTTGAGTCACCCCAAGAGCCTCATTAGCGCAGCATACCCACAGGAGCACGTCGAGGTGTCGTCATGAGCCCGAGGAACCTTCCGCGGCCTGCGGCCCCGAAGGCAATGACCACTTCTGAGCAGTCTGCCCAGTGGTGGCTCCTGACAGTCCTTCAGGATTTCAGCTGTCGCCCGGGCTTTGAAGGAACACCAGTCACCTGCGACTCCTGATGGAGGAGTGAGGCGTGCTCTGGTCCCATTTGAGCCGCGTCCATGTCAGAAGGCGAGGGCACCTCGGGCTGTGAGGGAGGGAAGTGTCGGCCTCAGGGCCCAACGAGCAGGGCGTGAAGTCCAGAGGACAGAGGTGAAACTGAGCAGTTGTCTCCTGCCCACCTAGTCACAGTACTGGCCAGCAAGACTTAGACATTTACTTCCTGTTTGAATTAATAATGTTTCTGTTGCTTCTCCGTCAAAATGCTATGCTTAAAGTACTGTTTTTATTTATATATATCGCAATTTATGTTACAGATTCAATCTTACTACCAAACCATCCACTATTCCATTGATATGATTTAAAGCCAAAATTCTAATTTTTTGAGAGAGATTTTATGCAAGGGCATATGCACTTGCCAGAGACACAAGAGAGAGAGAGAGACCTCACCCCCCGGGGATGGTCACACTGCAGTCCTTAATTCTCCGTGGGGATCGTGGGCATGCATATGCGCCTGGCATGCTTCAGGCTGCTGGGTCCGTGACTCACACTGCAGTTGGCCATGTGGGAGTCCAGCACCGTAACCACTACGCCACCTGCTGGCCCCATAACCTAATTTTTAAAAGAAACAATTCACCTTCCTCTCCTTGAAATTGGAGATAAGGTCATAAATTGTACATAACTGGCGGGCCCTGTTCTTCAGGGGACACGCTTGTGTACAGTGATGGGGATAATACAAACTCTAGCTCCTGGTTTTGCTGACAATGTAAAGTATTATAATTTGCACATCACATCGATGGAGTTTAACAAGATTTATTCAGGATTTAAAGACTTTCCTTGGTATTGCTGCAAAAGAAGTAATGGCGGTTGAAAGAAAGTACTTAATAGTTATACTTGTTTGGGAGTTTTAGACATCAAACTTTTCAGGTTTAACTGCCTATTTTTCCTAAAAGCAGAATCGATTTTGGGTAATGTGAAGACTCCCATCTCATCAGAGGGAAAACCAGTTAGCACAGTATAAAGGTCTAGCACTAGGGAGGCCAACACAGTCTGGTCCAGCTCCTCAGTGTTCACCTGGTTTGGCGAAATCTCCCTCCTCAAGGGCCTTAGCTTTCCTGCCCCATCCCTCCGCGGTTACCTGTCAGCCTCTGGGCATGGGGAGTTGTTGGCGGTCATCAGGCCTGATCGCTTCAGGTCCTCCTTAGGTGGCTACAGTCTGCTATTTCTCAGACGATTTATACCCTCTGCAGCACCGTAACCACTACGCCACCTGCTGGCCCCATAACCTAATTTTTAAAAGAAACAATTCACCTTCCTCTCCTTGAAATTGGAGATAAGGTCATAAATTGTACATAACTGGCGGGCCCTGTTCTTCAGGGGACACGCTTGTGTACAGTGATGGGGATAATACAAACTCTAGCTCCTGGTTTTGCTGACAATGTAAAGTATTATAATTTGCACATCACATCGATGGAGTTTAACAAGATTTATTCAGGATTTAAAGACTTTCCTTGGTATTGCTGCAAAAGAAGTAATGGCGGTTGAAAGAAAGTACTTAATAGTTATACTTGTTTGGGAGTTTTAGACATCAAACTTTTCAGGTTTAACTGCCTATTTTTCCTAAAAGCAGAATCGATTTTGGGTAATGTGAAGACTCCCATCTCATCAGAGGGAAAACCAGTTAGCACAGTATAAAGGTCTAGCACTAGGGAGGCCAACACAGTCTGGTCCAGCTCCTCAGTGTTCACCTGGTTTGGCGAAATCTCCCTCCTCAAGGGCCTTAGCTTTCCTGCCCCATCCCTCCGCGGTTACCTGTCAGCCTCTGGGCATGGGGAGTTGTTGGCGGTCATCAGGCCTGATCGCTTCAGGTCCTCCTTAGGTGGCTACAGTCTGCTATTTCTCAGACGATTTATACCCTCTGCACCCTGCAGAGGTGAGGAGTCCATCTAATTGGGCACACCTGCAGATGCTCTCACCTGGTCACCTTACCTAGGACAGAAGTTCTCAAACCGTAGGAAAAGAAAGCAGTCCTTCCTTGATACTCACTTCACGTTCTATGACCATAAACTAGTCCTGATTTTAACAATAGCATGTTTGTGTTTTCACGGTATTTTTACCCTAAATAAGTGAGGGAGAGGGCGGAGCAGGACCCAGATGGCCTGTCAGTGGAGAGTGTGACCTTGCATAATCTTTCCCTCCAACAATCTGATTCTTGTGTCAGTTTACAATGAGGTAACTCTAATTTCATACACTCACAAAAATATTCAAAATTTAATCTTACAGATAGGCCATTTATCCAAAAAAGTATATGTTAATATAATTATTACATGATAAAGAGATCATTTTTTACTGTCATCCTCTGAATTACAAAATTCAATAATGCAGAGAATTCCCACGCAGGTATGTGTTATTTTATTTGTTCAGTCTCTAAAGGCCTTTGTCCTTATGTCATCTCTATACTTTTACATTTACTGTTTCTATTTAGGATAAGAAGTAGAAGCATGGAAATTAACAACCTACCCACCCACCGCTTTTTGATGTACTTGCTAAGAATGAGCAGTCATGGCTAGAAACCCCAGTGTTCAGACTGTGTTCAAAACCTGGCTGTTCTGTATGTGGTTGCTTCAGTGGTTGAAGACGGGCTGTACTATCTGGTCGGCTAGAGTAACTGCCAGTATGTCGTCATCAAGCACGTTCCGTCTGAGTGCACGGTGGCTTCTGGCCAAGGCCTGCAAAGCTCGTGTGTTGTCTTCAGAGCCCAGGCAAAGTTCTGGCTGCCTGGGGTCTCAATGTCCATGACGACAAAGGCTCTTCACAGCTATTTTTAAAACACACACACCAGACTGTTCTTAGAAGGCTGTAATTCATCTTTCTGGGTCAATCTGTGCTAAGTTTGTAAAGCCGTGCAATACTCGTACGGAAAGGTCAGACTGCGCATGTTCTTAGAGCCTAAGGGTAGAGCCCTGTGCTTTTAGGGGAACAGATGCCAACCTGTGGCACTTGGGTAAAGGAATGTGAAATTTAAACTTTTTTTTTTTTTTGCCATTTAAATGTTTGGGTTTTTTTTTTGTCTGTTTGTTTGTTTTTTTAATCCAAGACTCTTACTAGGCTTTAGATTCAAAACAAAACCCAATTCTAAGACTAGCACTCTCTTCCTGCTGTAACTCCTGCTTTGCTAGTTGTGTGGACATTTAACTTGCACCATTCTTCATGGTGAGTGTTAGCTGTCCTCCACTCTGACCTCAAAACCGATGGTCGAAGGCACTCTAAAGAAACCTGTGGTGATCAGTAAAGCAGCCAGCTCAGATATCAGGGCCAGTTCACCTCATGCCTGATTTAGTCATTTTCCAATTAAAAAAAAAAAAAAAAAAAAAAAAAAAATTCCTTAAAAAAAAAAAACAGAAAAAACACAAACAACGCAGTTCCTTGGTCTGTACTCCCTGAGATTCAGACCAAGCAGGTCTGGGGTGGGGGGAGGGTGAGCTTTTTAAAAGGAGGTGAGACCTGCTGCTTCTGTGGTCAGAGGAGAGCACCCAAGCAGGAATAACAGAGAACAGGACAGCAGGCATGGGTGCTCCATGCAAGCTCCGAGTTTGGTAAGAGTGCTGCCTGCAAGCTCTGGAAACCAGGAAAGGAAGAGGCTCTGGAGAATCTTCCCTTTCTGGGTTATGGTTGGTGGCACGGAGCTCAAAGGGCAGGTGTGCTTACATCTGGGAAGGTGGGGGAAAGGCAGGCGGGTGGGCTCCAGGGACAGCCCAGCTGGGAGTGAGAATCACAGCCCATGGAGTGAGGCTCCAGGGAGCGGGTCAGGCGGAAGCTGAGGAGGCACATTGGGAAGGCGCTGAATGGGGTGGGGAGCCAAGACGATGCGATCTAGAGGGGGGGTGTGTTGGGTGTGTGTACGTGGACACGG